AGAGGTAAAGGATGTGGTTAAGTTTTTCCCCCCTTTTCTGAAAAAGACTGAAAAAGGCCATTGAGGAAGGTATGGAGTGGAGGGATTGTGGCATCCTGGAAGCCAAGTAAAATAAATGTATCAAAGTGGAACAAGTGACAAGTATTTCCAAACTTGCTAACAGGTTAAGAAAGAGGAGGAATGAGAATTACCCAATACACATGACAATGAGAAAGTTGCTGTTGTTCCTGGCTAGAGAAATTTCTTTGGAGTGAGGGTAGCAAAAACCTGGTAAGTGTCTGTCTGATTGGGAGGAAATGACACAGAGTTAACCTAGAAATTGTTTTCAAGTTTTGTTGCAAAAATCAGCAAAGAAGTAGGTGATGAGGTAATGTGGATGTGGAGTAACCATAACTTCCTTTTGCTTTTTAATTTTAAAATGGGAGAAATAAATGTATATTTGTATGCTGATAGGAACAATTGAATAAATTGGGAAATGATAATATCAGAAAGAGAGAATAATTTCTAGAGTGTTCTTGAACAGGTGAGATGAGAAGCATTTTAGAGAACAGATAGAAAATACTGGCTTAGGCAGAAGCATGGAGCTCGTCTTAATATCAGAAAGGCAGAACTTGGAAAATTCAGATGCTAATAGTTGGGCAGGTATGGTGATCAGATCTGAAAGCTGGCCTTGATTAATATCATTTTCGTGGTAAAGCAGAAAGTAAGGTCATTATATGAGAAGGAGGATCTGAGAGTTGCTGAGGGTTTGTGACAAGAGTGGAAAATATTTGGGGCTGATGCTTTGGCGTAGCAGGTTAGTCTACTACATGCAGTACCAGCTTCCCATAGTTTTGCCGGTTCATGTCCCCACAGCTCTCTGTTGATGGCCTGGGAAAGCAGCATAAGATGGCCCTGGTACTTGGGCCATTGCCACCATGTGGGAAACTCAGAGGAAGCTCCTGGCTCCTGGCTTCAGATCTGCCCAGCTCCAACTGTTGAGGCTATTTGGAGGAGTGAACCAGTGGGTGGAAGACCTCTCTCTCTGTCCCTCTCTCTGTCTATAACTTTGACTTTCAAATAAATGCATAAATATTGAACCAAAAGAATGGAAAATATTTGAAATAGTTATCTGAGACTGGGAGAGGGACTGAGTAAGCAGTTATAGTATGATTATCCAACAGCTCCAATGACCCACTGGACATTTATGGCAAAAAAAAAAAGGGGGTCAAAAAGTAAAAAAGATGTAACATGAGACCATTCAGCATGGCTGTGCACTTTTGTTCTGCCTGATTTAATATCAAGGATTCAGGCTCAATAATGAAAAAAGTTGGATTTATCTAGGATTATGAGTCTACCAAATATTTATGACAAAGACAAAACATAGCACAGTACTAGATGTTATAAATACTAATTCAATATTTATGTAAGCGAATGTCATGAATGTATAACTGTTTTGAAATCTGTCACTAATTGGTAAGCAAGCATGCTTTCCAAGTTACAGAATGAATAATGAAATTTCATATAATACTTATTAAATTATAGATATTCATGATTCTTTGAGAAATTAAATTCTTTCAATATTTCCAAAGGAATACTAACATTATTATAACCATTGATAAAACCTTATGCTATGAAACAAACTCTTTTGGTGTTACCTGTATATATTTACAAAATATATGTGAATGTATATGAATTTCTGTGTTTAATCACCAATGTACCTATATTTATATTAGTTCCATTTATATATTAACTTAAAATATTAATAGCTTCTTTTTATTGAACACCTCCTATATCCCTTGCATATAACTAAGCACATTATGTATATATTCACATGCAATATTTATAATGACATTTTAAATAAGTTACTATTGTTACTCTGAAAATGTGGGGACAAAAGATAAATGACTTAACCAAGGCTATGTATCCTGTGAGT